AAATATACTATCTGTATTTATAACTCCAAATATACTATCTGTATTTATTAAAATTATTGATAATAAATTGATTGGTGAGTACCGGGTTTTATTATTTAAAATGCAGCATAAATTTTTATTTATATATAAATCCAAAAGATATGGAATCATATATTTGAATAACACAGCATCCTATATAACTAAAGAAATAATTATCTTATTATTTTCTACATGTTATAGAAGGTCAATGGGTTTATATACTCTTTGACATTCTAGAACTTTCATCGTTCTTTAATTCATTAATTTTTCTTGTGTTTTAAGTTTAATATTATTTGTAGCTGTTTTTATTGCTTCCCAGAGATCTTTCCATCTTTTGTATGCATCGCTTTTAATGATAGTCCACTTGTTTTCTTAATTGTTATTTGCTAGAGGTCACTCCCTAAATTTGTTGCTTTTAAAATCACTTTTTGTAAGATGGAAATAGTCAGTTTAAGAGAATAAGGTGTAGCAATGTCTTAGATAATTACATTATTCAGCTGGAATCTTCATGATTGTGACATGTATTTGTTCAACAGCTTCGAATAATTTTTGGCATTCATTTTCACACAAACATTAACTTAAAAGTAGTAGACAATTTTACAAGCTAGAGTACTAGCTCAAAATATTACTCCACCTCCCAATCGTTTTGGTTAAATATTTCTATACCTTTCTTTTATGTGCCATATTATTTCAGGACTTGGACGATAATCGCTCTGAACAATGTCCTATCATTCCTTGCTCTTAGAAGTGTTGGTATTTTTACAATCCTTCCCTCACTGCCTGTTCTGTCATCCATTTACACAGGATTATAGGTCTCCATCTGTCTCTTTTGTTTTCCGTATGTCTGCTGAGTCTCATATTCTCCAAGCCATCTTTCTTCATTATTTTGCTCGAGAGATTTCAAAAGTCCCTTCATAATTATAAGCATAAACATCCATTTTCCTTAAAACTTTCGACTAAAAATTAGTGTCAAGAAAACACTTACCTATCTACCCAACACATAATTTTCTCTTGGTGCTTACTTAAATGGGATAGCTTCGTTCCTTTCATATCTCTTGCTATTGGTTTTTAATATTTGACATCATTCCTCTTTGTTTATATTTGAAAAACGAGCTTCAGATATTTTCTATATTTACTTATTACCATTTTCTATTGTCAAAATTTTCAAATCAGAAGAAATATTTTGTTTGTTTTCATTTGACAACAGAACCAGTTATCTTCTTTAGATAAATTGATTGTTTGTTTAACGGCATATCAGCTCCTCATGGATCATTTAATATTGAAATTTAATTTTCTTGGGAGTTTTGAAATAATAAAAATATGATATATGTTATTCTGCTTTCGCAATTGAATACATGGTAAATGATACTCAGCCTTTGTGCATCTACATGTTCGTGTGGACATGATTACCCGAGGCGGTGATGTGTATGTTTTATCTTGTAGCTTTTTAGAATGCAGTTTGATTTCTTTCATATTGATTGGTGTGTCAATTTCATGTAGCAACATATCAACCTCTATAGGTTATTTAATCTAAATATTTGAACACAATTTTATGCCTTTAACTACAGAAAATCTATTGTTGGTCATTTTGCTATAAAATGTATTGTTGATAATTTTATTTTAGAAATGTATTTTTATACTTTTATAGTGTTTTGTTTTTGTTTGGTCAGAACGCTATTCGCCTCTAGCTGGGACCCTAACAGGTGCTACCACTCCGGGTCAGGGTGGACCTGGGAATAATAGCAAATATGTGATTCTACGCCCCTTAAAACCTCCGATGTTTCGGTCAGAGGTTTTGCTGCCAGATCTTTAGTTAGAAGAAAGATTGACCGATGTATGAGAATCAATGTAAAAAATTATGAGTAATTTTAGTTAATATATTTCCTTTTTTTCTTTCTAATTAGCCGAGTTTAAATGCTTTAGAAGAATTCATTGCGTTACATTCTTCGTTGGTTTGTTTTTATTCTACGGGGCCCTGGGCATGAATTTACTCGAAATGTTGAAGGGATCGACTGAGTGGCAGAAATGATTAACCCTCCAGGATCCTAGGTGTGGAACAATTGTTGAACGTTAATACGCAGTAGTGAGTTCAATTCTCAATAATTTCCTCATAAGAAAATTTCGACATTAAATAACCCAACAAGAGTTGTCAAGTCCTAAAATCAGGCAACTTCATCTACACCTTCTTCCTCCAGGAAAGAAAATACCTAGATGAGAATGTTTCTTTTAAAGCTATTGACTGACTGACTATCTATCTATCTATCTATCTATCTATCTATCTATCTATCTATCTATCTATCTATCTATCATTCTGCCAGTCTGTTCGTGTCAACCTACCTAACTTCTTATCTATCTATCTATCTATCTATCTATCTATCTATCTATCTGCCAGTCTGTTCGTATCAACCTACCTACCTACCTAACTTCTTATCTATCTATCTATCTATCTATCTATCTATCTATCTATCTATCTATCTATCTGCCAGTCTGTTCGTATCGACCTACCTACCTACTTACCTACCTACCTAACTTCTTATCTATCTATCTATCTATCTATCTATCTATCTATCTATGCAGAAAAAGTTTATCATGCTCTCGATAAAAACGGTGAAGCCTGGGATCTTGCATTGGACATCTCGAAAGCCTTTGACAGTGTCTGACATTCAGGTCTTCTCTACAAGCTGTAAAGTCATGGTGTCTCCGGAAACTTTTTTTACCTATCAAATCGTGAAATGAAACTTATCCTGAAAAGTCGCTCGTCTAGATCCTTTCGTAATAACGCAGGTCTCCCCCCGCCCAGGTCTTCATCCTTGGTCCTACTCGATTTTTAATTTATCATTAATGACCTTCCTGATGAAACCAACTCCAAAGTTTACTTCTTACTCCTGTCACGTTAATAAGGCTTAACGGTCTGACAAGGTTAAAATGATTTCCCACCCACGAAAAAAAAATCAAATCCGTAATTAACTGGGGCAACAGATGGCTTGTTAATTTTAGCGCCTCCAAAACTAAACATTTCTCCATTAATCATCTGGGAGACCCCTTGCTGCCTTCCACTAGCATGGCTGATGCTAGCCTCCAGGAAAGTAACAAGTTGCGCCATTTATGGCTCACGTTCTATGCTGACATGACGTAAAAAGACTATATTAAATCCATTGCTAGATCAGAAGCTTAGATATTCGGTTCACTATGTCGGCCGAGAAAATTTTTCTCACCAGATTCTATCTTACATATCTATAAGTCAACCATTCACGCATGCTTAGAATCTTCCTGCCACATATCGTCCGGCAGCCCTGCTATTGTGCTCCTTGATAAAATCCAAAGAAGAATCTGCAATATTATTGGTCCTGATCTGGTGTTTCAGTTTCGCACCGCCTTAACATTGCATCTCTGTGTCTTGTTCGAATAAGCTCTACGCTATGGTACCTAGATTTTATGAATTTAAGCGCAGCATTTCACTGGCGCCAATAACTCATCAATTTGCAGTTGAACTGGTTAGATGTAGACATAAATTCTATGGTAACAGTTTCTTCTCTTCCAATTCTCGCTTGTGGTACTCCCTTCCGGCTCCACGCTATCCAACCAACTTTAATCTGCTAAAATTCCAATGCAATGTCAAACGCTATTTGCTGTCCACCTGATTCCTCTCTTATGTTTCTGCTCATCATTAATGCTTCTCTTACTAATTCTTCCACACCCTGTAACCCCTTGTGTTTTAGTGGCATCACTGCTTTGCTTTGGGTAATTTCAATTAATATATATATATATATATATATATATATATATATATATATATATATATATACAATGAGAGAAAGAATAGATAGAATAAAATTACACTATCCGCAGCATTTAATTTTATGTCAGGGCACTTATAGCCACTAATTTTTAAAGCAGTGTTATAAGATTTACTAAGCTTGTACAAGACATCTTCACTGGGAGAATTATTAACCAAATGGTTAGTACTAAGTTAGGGTAGAAATTTCTCCATTAAATACACGAAAACTAAGCTATAGCCGTACCGAAAATCTTAAATTTAAAAAAAAAAAACATAAAATGTTAAATCAATACAAAAACAAGTGTGACTGTAGAAAGTCTCACGAATGTCCATTGCAAAACTAATTTTAATTCTGACTTATGACCCTCCCCTTAAAATTTCGGAAAAGAGGGAATACTGTTTTTAAATATACTTAAAAATCATTTAATCACCAGTTACATACCATCGCCTGAAGAAGTACAATCATAGTATTGAAACATGAGAGCTTTTGTGTTTGTGGATTTCAACATGTTCTTATTATAGGCTCTATAATAAATAATATATATATATATATATATATATATATATATATATATATATATATATATATATGTTCATTCTCTCTCTCTATATATATATATATATACATACATATATACATAGGTATAAATATATACATATATATATATATATATACGTACATATATATATATGCACATATATATATATATATATATATATAAATACATATATATATATATATATATATATATATATATATATATATATATATATATATATATGGGTACGAACAGATTGTCAGATAGATAGATAGATAGGAATCTAAATGAAAAATAATAAAAAAAATGAAAGAATATTAATCTACAACCCAGTGTGTCTGAAGATTTTAATTTTTAATATTTTTTTTATTGTTCAATCATATATATATATATATATATATATATATATATATATATATATATATATATATATATATGCCAGTCTTTTCGAATCCATTCGTATCCAGCGACCTAACTTATCTATCTATCTATCTATCTATCTATCTATCTATCTATCTATCTATCTCTTTGAATTTATAAATATCCTTTGCCCCTGACCCTGCGAGCTCGTATCTTCTACTTGTACGAACTAGAAACCATTTCTAAATGTAGATTTTAATATTTTTCCCTGATTTCCGACATAACTTCAGCCAGATAAAACGATTATGTACATTCCCTTTGCTATTATCTTTCCAGGTGGGACCGTTGTCGACACGAACAGTTTTGGACAACCGGGCAAAATGGACGGATTGATTCACGAATTTGGACACAACCTTGGCCTGTGGCATGTCCATCACGGTATATCAGAAGTCAAGTGTGACGATCCTTGCATGGAAGATGAACCTTCGCTCGAGCTAGGCGATCTCTGCTCGGATACAGCGCCAACAGCTCAAAACACACACTGTCGCGACCCTGATTGGACTGTCCAGGCTTGTGGCATTAGTCCTTTCAAGAACACACCTTACAGGAATTACATGAGTTATGCCAGTAAGTTGACATTATTTTTTCATAAATTGTTTTCATCAAAACAACCCACCAGTGATCACCTCAATTTCCTCGAGATTCAACACCTGTCAATAATGCTAATGGTAATAGCAGCTTTTTCCTTATGAGGAAACATACAACATTCATTGATCGAGCAGCCAGTGTTACGTTCGATTGAAATTTGTTTAATCATTCTGTTACAAAAAATTGTCGGGAGAATAGGTTTCTCAAGTCCATTAACTGTCATCTCTCTTTCCAGTTTTGATGGTCTTTCCTTCCTAACCTTTTGTTTGAAGTAGTGTGGAATATCAATATCTTTATTATGCTTTTATTTTATTTTCAAGTTACATGTGCTAGCCAAGTGATACGGTTTCTGTTATTTGATGCAGTTCTTTGTGATTGTGTAGCGCCAGTGCACAATGTTCAAAGATGGACGGTCCTCACTAAAACCCAAAGTCTTCTTTTGTACAAAGCTATTTTTAATCATTGATCTTAAAAAGTGGCTGTATAGAACTGCCAGTTTAGACATTTTTGGTGCCATACATGGCATCCATTTGATAGTCAAGAACTGAAGAGATTGTTTAAGAACATGATTCCACTTTTTAGGCTAATGTTTTCGTTTTGTAGTACTTTGCTGTGTTGTGTGAAACTATGCCTGGCACATCCTATTATATGTTCAATTTACTTAACTCCGATAGTAAAATTGTTATAACTGAGGTACTTGAAGTGTTTAGTATTTACTAATTCTACATCCGGAATATTTATGATCGATTTAGGGTATTTGCCATCTTTGCTTTTATTCCAATTCCCCATCATAATTTGTTTTGAAAAGATTTCTCATTTTCATAGCCTCCCCATCTTCATAGCCTCCCCCTCTTCATAGCCTCCACCTCTTCATACCTTGCTCCTCTTCAAAGCCTCCCCTCTTCATAGCCTCTCCTCTTCATAGCTTGCTCCTCTTCATAGCCTCCTCCTTTTCATAGCTTGCTCCTCTTCATAGCCTCCCCCTCTTCATAGCCTCCTCCTTTTCATAGCTTGCTCCTCTTCATAGCCTCCCCCTCTTCATAGCCTCCCCCCCTCTTCATAGCTTGCTCCTCTTTATAGCCTCCCCTCTTCATAGCCTCCCCCTCTTCATAGCCCCCTCTTCATAGCTTGCTCCTCTTCATAGCCTCCCCCTCTTCATAGCCTCCCCCTCTTCATAGCTTGCTTCTCTTCATAGCCTCCCCCTTTTCATAGCCTCCTCCTCGTCATAACCTCCCCCTCTTCATAGCCTCCTCCTAGTCATAGCCTCCTCTTCATCAGTGGATGTTTATGGTAGAATGAAAAGGCACTACATCAGTAAATGGTTAGAGTGTATGTTGAAATGCTTACCCAATTCTTTTGAAAAATCTCAAATCTCTTGATCAGTTATAATCAGTAATCAAATTTAACCTGTTACAATTATCTGTACTCATTTGCTACCCATATCTATTAAAGCGTCCATGTTTCAATTTGCTCTGATTTTTAGAAGGATTAGATGAAATGGGAAGAACTGAGAAGGAAGATTGTGCTACGCCATAAAAAAAAATGATTTACAGATTAATATTGTTACCATATATCCAGAAATTTGAGACGTTTTTCGCTTCTCCTTACGAATATTATTTTTCTGTTTTTTTTTTCGACGTATATATTCCATTATTTTCTTCTTTTATATTTTACATGGTTTGCTTTTTCTTTTCTTCTTTCTTTTTTCTTTCTTTTTTTGTTTGTAAGCTGTTCTATTCTGCGTTCTTTTTGCCTTTCTTTCTTTTTAATTCCTTTATTTCTTTTGCTTTTTCCTTTTTCTTTTCATTTCTTTTATTCTTCCTTTTATCTTTTCCTTCCTTTCTCTTTTTCTTTCTTTTTTAATTTTTTTCTTTTCTTTTTCATTTTTGTAAACTGTTTTATTCTTTGTTCTTATCTTTTTTCTTCCCTCCTTTTTATTTCCTGTTTTATCTTTTTCCTTCTTTCCTTTTTTTCTCTCTTTCTTTTCATTTTTCTTTTATCTTTTTCATTATTTTCTTTTTTCCATTTATTCTTTTTCTTTTTAATATCTTTCTTTCTTTCATTCTTTTTAAATTGTTTCATTATTTGTTCTTATGTTTTTCCTCCCTTCTTTTTTTCTTTCTTTTTATCTTTTCCCTTCCCGACTTTCTTTTTACTTACTTTCTTTTTAACTTCATTTCAGTTCCTTCCTTCATTTTATTCTTTCTTTCTTTCTTTCTTTCTTTCTTTCTTTTAAATTGTTTTACTCGTTTATTATATTTTCTTTCCTTCTTTCTTTTTTCCTTCCTTTTGTTCTTTATTCTTTCTTTCTTTGTCGTAAACATTTCTGTTGTTTTATTTCTTATTGATTTCGTTAATTCGTCAGATCCATGTTAAAATAACATATCTTTCTATTCAGTGTCAATTTCGAGCAACCGCCATCAGCCCATCGCCCTCTTAGATTCAAATAAATAAATAATAATAATAAAAATCAAAATCAAAAATTAATCATAAAAAGAAAAGAAAAAAAGAAAACAAAATTAGAAAAGTGCCAAATTCTTGTTTATTGAATTTAATAGCTGTTAACGCGTCTGGAAAGTTCCCCACCAAGCTCCATTCTTTTTTCATGAAATTGTCTACAGCCATTTTTTTTTTATTTTTACTCTTTATTTATAACTTATTCTTAATTTAATTTTATCTCTCTTTTCCACTCTCTTTCTTCTTCCTCTATTCTATTTTACGTTCCTCTCTCTCTTTTTCTTTATCGTAATGACATTCACTCTCTTTGTCCTCCCTTTGTCACTCTTTCGCCAACTCTTCACTTCACTCTCTCTTTCCCTCTTATTGTCTTTCTCTTCAATTTAACTTCCTGTCTAACTCTATCAGATATCTCTTATTCCGCCCAAAATACAAACTGATTCAGGCTGAGTGTTCTATAAACACAAATTTAACAGTAAGGCAATCATTTTCTTAATATGAACTCTAGTTTCCCTTTATCAAGAGAATTTATGCAGTTAGTTTTAGAGATGGAACATTTAGTTACATTGATGAACAACCTAGACATACAATCGGCAGTAATGATGCTCAAGTTTCTGGAGTAAAATGTTTGGGTGTAAGAAGACGCAAAGGATTCTGATTTTTACTGGTCTGTCAGACGAAACTTCGGTGAGATAACGGAACTTTCAAAGAATCAAAAAAAGAAAAACAAGTAATTCAAAGAAAGAAATTGAAAGCAAGGTTAGAAAAGACTGGAGATAAAAGCAGACGATCTGACTGTAAGAAATATGGCTGACTGACGTTTATAGAAAAGAAATATAAAAACAAATGGGCGGGTAAATGAATCAGAAAAAAAGTAATTTTTTAAAAATAAAAAAAAAGCGCAAAAAGAAAATGAAAGTTCGAGCAGTAACAAATACACACACACACACACACACACACACACACACACACACACATATATATATATATATATATATATATATATGGTGTGTCAAAAATAATTTTACAAACTTTGGGGTCTGCTTCCTCGCACCAAATCAAGGACAAAAGTCCCTATAAACATAGGTCCGGTAGAAGTTATTAAATGTACAAACCAAGATGCAATTCGAAAATACTTTTACAAACTTTGAATATCTGGACACTGTTAAACGGAACATTTCTAACCTTACTACTACACAAATTAAACGTTGAAGAAAGGCTAGTCACAAATGTACACGAAGGACAAATGTAACCTAGTCGACATGGCAACACACACACACACTCACTCTCTCTTTCTCTCTCTCTTCCACACATACACACACAATAATAATAATAATACAAATGCGTATTCTCATTAAACGTATATAAAGAAAACTTAAATATTTTCTTGAAGTATTCTTAATATCCGATATATGTTCGATTCCCAGGGAGGGTGTAATCGATTTACTTCGAGCAGAATAAAAATGAGGGTAGGGGAATATCATTTTAGACAGATAATTATAAAAGCTTTGGGCTATACATGAACAAAACTAAGAGATCTAGCTTGATAGACATGCAGATACGTACAAATTTTGACATCTACCTAGTTATCCAAAGAATCTGCAATGTTATCGATCCTGACCTGGCCTATCGGCATCAATCATTTTCCCACAGCTATAATATAGTTACCCATGACTTTTCTATAAATATCTTCATGGTAATCGTTCTAATGAGCTATTTTCTCTTTGGTATCCCGACTTCATGAATTTAAGCTTACTAGATTGGCAGTTAGGTCTTATCATTTTCTTTTTGTGCAGCTTTTTATGTGCAACGATACGTTTTATTCTTTCTTTCTTCTATGGCATCTTCCCACACGTAGAACTCTCTTCCGGCTCTTTGACTTATTATTTAAAAATTCAAATGATTATATTGTCCTCTCCTCAATAAAGCATTCTCAGTTTCTTTCACTCCCAGTAACCCCTTGTGCCTTAGTGGCTTTATCGCCTTACTTGAGAAGAATTGATTAAAAAAGATACATAAAAACAGGACACGTTAGAAAAAATATATAGATATGAATAAACAGACTTAGTTGACAATCTCGATAGATAGATATGAATATACTGAGTTTGATATATATAGAAATAGATCGATATATAAAATAGTGGGATCTTAAAAGTTTCAAATAGGTAGGTAGATATATATATATATATATATATATATATATATATTATTTATTCGAAAATTATAACATAAATATGTTATAAAATCGCTACAAAAATAACCATTTTGTTTCAACACCACTGGTGTCTTATCAAGTGATGATACCAGAAGTATTGAGACAAAATGGCTAGTAGTGATTTTCTAACATATGTTATAATTTTCGAATAAATAATTATATTTAATCTACTCTGTATTGAGCACTTTTTTATAAATTGTAATTGTTGGTTATTGGAATTTATTCCGTGTACACCAATCCTATACATATATATATATATATATATATATAGAGAGAGAGAGAGAGAGAGAGAGAGAGAGAAAAAGCTAGAGAGAGAGAAAGAGAGATAGATAAACAGGCTGAGATAGATAGATATGAATATATATAATGAATATATCTATCTATTTATATATATATAAACAGATATATTAAAAGAGTGAGATAATAAAAGATTAAAATAGATACATAGATAGATATGAATATACTGAGATAGATATATAGATAGACAGACAGACAGATAGATGCAAAGAAAATCTTAAACGTTATAAAAGATAAACGGAAAGACGTTGGAGGCGGGGCGCTCTTTGTCAGGAGTCAGCAAGACGGGAAAAACCTATGGGTTGAAAGATCATAAAGGGGCGAAAATTGGGTGATTTTAAATGAGCCAAGTGCAATGATTATGTGCCATAACAAATGACTTGACCTTTTGGCTTATTGATTACCTTGGTAGGCTGTACCGCTGAGAAAGGTTTCTTCTTGGCAAATAGACAGGCAGACAGACAAATAGATGCGCAGGACTTGACGCGACCATAAATTATGATAGAAGTTGTCCGTTACACAAACAGAGAGATAAAACCAGAAGCGGAAATGTGTTAACGAAGAGACAGTCTGTCTTGTTAAAAGAAGCCACAAATGAATGAATGTCAGGCCAACCAAGTGTATATCTCGATACTTATCAATCGCTAGTGATTGCATGATATCTTTTATACATTGACCTATTCACAAAACAAAATTTACATGGTTATATATATATATATATATATATATATATATATATATATATATAACAAACTAAAACTTAATAATATTAACTTTGTACATGGACACAATATCTTGACCGTGTTTTGAAACAAAAAATTAATACATTTTATAAAACATACATACAACAAACTATTTCTTATTTAACCGTTAAAATATTTAATCCTTGAAAATGGCTAAATGCATAGCCGAAAGCGCTCGGATAAAAAGAACATTCGGACAGTTTTTATATAATTTATAATCTGAAAAGAAAAAAATATTAGAGTGCATGAAAAATTGTATAAAAAAAACTAAATAAAAGCACCTTGTATGTCGTTTTCAATGAAATGTGCATGGAAGAAAGATTGCTGCATAAATACACACACATACACACACACACACACACACACACACATATATATATATATATATATATAAATAAATAAATAAATAATTAAAAAAGTGAACACTTAGAGGCGACAGGCTGTTTCATGATAGACGTAATCGTCAGGCCATATATATATATATATATATATATAGTTGTATAGATATGAGTTTGTGACTCTGGGTTTCACGCTTTTGCGATCTTCAGACAAACCAGGGTCACAAACTCATATCCATACAACTGAAAATGTTAGCTCTATCACTGATATTTAGCGCTTTCCACTAAGTACTGAACATATATATATATATATATATATATATATATATATATATATATCATCCACATACAAGCCCGTTTCGCTGTATCACAACTCATCAGCGTAGACAGACATCCGATTGCTTAAAGCTGGGATCGAAACTCGACCGATTTGGCACCAGTCAGAGTTTCTACCCCTGAGCCATCGGCGCAAGGCAGGCAAGGGGTCTTTTAACGTATTATATACGTGATGTATATAACTGCTAAATCAGTAGCCAATAGCGCTCAATTCAGTGAGCGATGCGTTAATAGCAGGAGCAGCCACTGTTATTAAAATTCTCCTTTCTCTATAGTGCTTAATTGGCGTGACGCAATGTGATCTTCAGACGACTTGGACCGCTCAAGTAGTCTGAAGATCACGTTGCATAAAACTCAACCACACAACTAGAGGCCTTCTTTTATAGGATTTAATGTTGGTAAGCGTTTTTTTTTTCTTGAATTAGGCAGTCTAGGCGTCGAGTACATTACTGTGTAGGTAAGCTTGACTACTAAATATTTTTCTATTTCTTTTTTCAGTTTTGTCGTCTTTATTCGCGATTGTATCTGGATAACCGTTTAGGTTTTGGCAAGCCGTCCGTTGATTCTACCAATGGTTCCTGTTTTTCTTTAATATATATATATATATATATATATATATATATATATATGTGTGTGTGTGTGTGTGTGTGTGTGTGTATGTGTGTATGTATCGCAATCTCTCTCTGGAGGTGAATATATCTATAAATTACTAAATAAACGATCAGAACTGATGTTAAGATGCAGGCACAAATATAAATTTTTCCTACATTACTTAAAAATCGAAAAGTACAAATGAATAACGAAAAAATAACTGAATATATATATATATATATATATATATATATATATA